CAAATTAGTTCCGACATTGAAGAGAGTATTTAAATTTACATTAGATGATACATCGGACCATACCAAAGGTTATTGTGTGGCCGCAGCTCAGTATATGGTGCCCTGGAAAGGCAAATAGTGTCCCGAGAGTTGTACTGCATTTTTTAAATTAAGTTCAGACTGAATCTCTTTAGTGTTTTCTTTTATGTTACAGCAGCATGTGTGATGTGACTGTGAGGCGAGTTTGTGCCTTGCCTAGTCGGAACGGACAGCCATGTCCAGTTGTAGCATGGCCTGGTTTCGGCAGATGCGTATGCGCGTATACGCAGGCGCCACCCCGGAGCGTGCGTATGCTATACATGGTGGTTCCTCGGAAGTCGCGTGCGCAGAAGGGTTATATTCTGTATGCGCGGAAGTCGTGTTTTCTGAGCATGCATCAAGCTCGGTCCTGGCAGGCACTGTCCTGGTTCACATTTTTTTTTTTCGTGGTTAACGTAGGATCTCGTAAGTTCAAGTACGAGTATGTGTGAGATACTTGGTATGGAGATGTATGCTTAATTATGAAAGCGAAGTTATTATAGTCCACGGTATGAGAGCGTATTTCTCTTTGAGGGCCCCGTATGCGTGATGGATGAGAGGATAGGCAACTGTGTATGTTGTCCTGATAATAAACAACTTGTTTTTCACGTAGATCATGATGACGGCAACCTCGATGATGCCTGTGTACCCTCAGGTGCTCCTGCTACTCCCGTTGACGCTTGGAGTGCGTGGTACGGTGCAGCGTCTCGCTGGCGCTGGTGAGATGTGACGGCACGCCCTGTGCTGTTGTTTTGACCACGTGAGCTTGCTTCATGGCAGCTAACTATGGCGTGTGCTGGTTTGTTTTAACAGCCACGTGCGCTTGCCTTATGCCTGTCGCAGAGGCAAGCAGTGAGCGACGTGTTGACGTTTATCATGTGAGCAATCCCAGCGGTTTGCTGATGAATACTGGTGAGTCGTATCCATTTTATTATGATTCTGGGCCGAATGCCCTCTCATCAAAGATTGTGTTGTGGGAAAAGTGTAAAAATACCCACACAATGTGAGAAAGATCCCCGATCACCAAGTTCCTTGAGTTTTAGAAGTCATAGTTGATGACAGAGGTAGTGAGACCAAATTTGATTAAGAATGCTTGTATACTCATATTCAAAACTTTAGACCGCACCTCATGAGTAACATGTGGCGATGGGTCTGTAGAGAATCGTTGGTGCGATTCTGGCATATGTGGCGGCAGATGTGTTGTAGCATATTTGGCGGCAGATATGTAGAGAATCGTTGGTACGATTCTGGCATATGTGGCGGCAGATGTGTTGTAGCATATTTGGCGGCAGATATGTAGAGAATCGTTGGTGCGATTCTGGCATATGTGGCGGCAGATATGTAGAGAATCGTTGGTGCGATTCTAGTTTGTGTTGGTGGACAGAGCTCCTCATGTGTTGTAGCATATATGACGGCAGATATGTGGAGAATCGTTGGTGCGATTCTGGCATATGTGACGGCGGATATGTAAAGAATCGTTGGTGCGATTCTGGTCTGTGTTGGTGCACAGATTTCAATGAAAGTTTCACGAGTTGAATATGCATTGCTTAAAAATTGTAAAGAGTAAAAAATTGTTAAAATTACTGTGTTGGAACTTGTGTTTCGATTGGCAGGATAGCCAAGCTAGATTAATCTCTAAGCATACTTTTGTCTACAGGCCCTGCAACCGAGGACGGATGCTAGTCAGCAAAGGCCGTGTCATGGATTGATGGCGTCATAGTGAAAACAAGTAGCGCCATCTAACAATCACTTTTGCGAACTAATAATATGTACCCACTCATGTCAGGATGGACGAGTGGACGAATTGGTGTTTGTTACAGGAATGCATAAAAATACACGCCCGAGGGCGGTCGTAGGTCAGGATGGCCGTGTCGGAGCGTCTGTAAAATACCCGGTTGGATCGAGGTAGAATGGAGGGTATATCGAGAAACCCCCTCTTGTGTCTGTAGTATAAAGTTCACTGTAGGTGCCGTGCGCGGGAGATTCCGCCCAAGTCATTCAACGAGTGTGGTCACTCTACTAGTGCTAAGATAGTGTCGTGGTTCTGTTCGTTGTTGTAATTCTTCTAGTGCAGACAAGGATGATTGGTGTTGCTGAGATGCTGTCCAGTGTCATATTGAGATAAGTAGTGTTGCTGTTGGTTTACATATTTTGGTGTTATCATGTAATTACGTACCTCACGTTACACTGGAGTGTGATTGTGGCGGAGACGTGTTACGGTGTGGTCGAACTGTAATTTCACTATACTGGATGTATAGTGCGTTACGCTGTCTTATTACTGATAATGATTAACTGCGTAAGCAAGAGAGCAAGTTGAACATCCGCTCTCAGACTTTTATTATTTTTAACAGTTAACTCTATCCTGATGTATTTCCAAGATCACAAGTGGAATACTCTGTTGAATAATTTTCCGATATATATATAAGGTTTCGACACCCACATATATAATCATACTGTATTATGATATGTCAAAAATTATATAAGTGAGAAATTTGTTAGACTTAAAATAATTTTGACTGTCTTATTTGTTGCTAGCTAAGGTAGTTATAATATATCAAATTATAAACCATGTGGAATTTACTCAATTGTTTTTATGTAGAGAAAATCATATCTAATATAAATGGAGTGAAACTTAATTAAAGTACATGGCCGCAAAGCCCGTTGCAATTTCGGCTCGAATCACATACGGTAAGCGACTTCGTACCAACGTTTCATTTTACGACGACCCTTCTTAAACCTTTTGCCAGAAACTTAAATCAAATATTGACACCAAACATCCTTCGGATAAATTTATAGAAGTTCTTACAAAGCTTATGAGCGATGTTCGAAAAATTATTACATTTAATGTTAATTATATATAAAGCTGGCAAAATATTTAGCGATGGTAAAATTGAGTAAACACTGTACAATTTTAACTTAAATACAAAACTTAAAACTTTTCAATGAATTTCAACCATTAAAAATAATTCACGCTTGCACTTCTGTGCCACTTGCAAGCGTGGTTCTGCGTCAATCGGAACAACCCATTGCTGTAGCAATAATAACGCTGCGGATTGTAGTTATTTATGTTTTTCATTAATCTCTACGAATGTATCGTGTGTTACGATTAATTTATTTTTTAATTTTAACCATTAAACGTGTAATAAATAGCGTTATAAGAATATCCGCTAACCCATATTGTCCCATGTGTATCACAGGGAAACAAACCAGAAAATGTATATATAATATAAAAATAACTGCGGTTGTGGCAAATGGCAAATATCCACCCTATGGGGCAGCCTATTAGGGAGACCTATGTCCAGTAATGGGCTATATTCCTAATGGTACACAATTTTAATTACTTACGCTTTTAAATCAACGCTTACAGTATGACATCATTAAGCGTCTAAGTAGAAAGTTCAAGAGATCACGTGTAGAATATTAGTTTGCAGCTCTGCTCGTGACTACGCCACAATGTAAATGTAAATAAAAGCTATATGAAAAAAAGTAGTATAGCGAACAGAACTTTAGTGAAAAGAAAATCGAAAATGCGATAATGTTTAAGAAAATAAAGGTGCATACGAGCAGGTTAAGAAAGTAAAATGACTCCCGCTATAAATTTTGTCGGAGTCCAATGTCCACGGTGAAATTGTTAATCGCAGTTTTGAGTTCTGATTTAGAACGTGGCCTGAAGTGAAGGAAAACAATGCAAAGAAACCTGCATGTGTGAGGATAAAAATGTTTGAGACATGTGAACTTCGTGCGCACAATTTTTTTTTATAGGATAGGGTGACAAACGAGCACACAGTCCACCTGATGGTAAGTGTTTGCTGTGACCCATAGCCCTCGTCCACAGTGCGAGCCTAGCGCGGTTGGGACGACGGGCGCTAATTATCAAACATATGAAACCGCCGTTTGCGTCCATAGTGTAGTGACTAAGCCCTCGTCCACAGTGCGAGCATAGCGCGGTTGGGACGACGGGCGCGAATTATCAAACATATGAAACCGCCGTTTGCGTCCATAGTGTAGTGACTAAGGCGGACGCCTAGCGCGTCGGGCATGAGGGAGATGGCGCGCGTAGTTTCCACATTCATATCCGCGCGTTGTGGCCACATTACAGGCCTAGTCAGCAAGCGATCCAATGCGCGGATGCGGGAGTATCAAACCAGATCGGTCTTATCGCTCGGCAAAAGAGCGTCTTCATTTTTTTTTTGTTAAAAAATTTGTATCTTTTCTAATGATTTTAGGTGATATGTTACTCAGGCCGTAATCAAATGTTGACACGGACATTCGAGTATACTCAAAGAATTTTCTAGGGTACAATCTCAATTCTCCATACAAATTTAAAAAATCACCATTTATTTGTCGGTTTTTATTTATTTCGTGCACACCCTCTCTAATGTTCAAAATCTCCCATCTCAGGATCGGACTGTCTAGTAGAAATACTAAATCCTCGTCCATGGTTTACAACACCTGTAATATATCTAAGCACACCAACAGCTCGCTTGTCACTGTGGCCACGGCAAGCGCCCGCCGTCGCGCCCGCAACAGGGTCAAGTCACCGCGCATTCACTGTGGACGCACACTAAGGCGGACGCCTAGCGCGACGGGCATGAGCGAGATAGCGCGCGTAGTTTTCAAACATTCATATCCGCGCGTTTTGGCCACACTACAGGCCTAGTCAGCAAGCGATCCAATGCGCGGGTGCGGGGTTATCAAACCAGTTCGGTCTTACCGCTCGGCGTAAGCGCGTCTTCGTTTCTTTTTGTTAAAATGGCGATAAATACTGAAGTGTTTATATGTGCGATTCAATCTAAACCAGCTTTATGGCAAAGTAAACATCCCCACCACTGTAATCGCACAATAAGAAAAAAAATATGGAGTGAAATAAAATAACAATTAACTGAAAGCGAAGGTAAGTTTAATAATTATATTATTTTACTATATTAAATAATACACTCAAATTACAATCTTTGATATTGTTCCCAGAAATAGTTTGTGAATTTTATACGAACGTGTTTTGCTCTTCGTGATGGGTTATTATTTACTCCAAGGCTTCTGTGACGATTTTCATATATTGGCGGGTTAGATAGCACACGTTGGACATCCAGATCGAGATCTCCGTTTAAATCCATTATGACATTATGCAGTATACACGCAGCTTTTATAATAGACAAGGCATTTTTTCTGTCTGTTTCGATAGGTTTCAGTAGTATTCTCCATTTAGATGTTAAAATACCAAATGCGCATTCAATTGTTTGTCTAGCGGTAGATAATCTGATGTTAAAACATTTTCTTTCATTATTGAGTACTCGCTCAGGATAAGGGCGCATTAAATAATGCATTAACGGATATGCTTCATCACCCACTAGGACGTAGGGCGCACTGACGTCAGAATTCGGAAGTCTCTTTGGCATAAGAATTTCGTATTTATTTTTTTCTATAAGCTTATACAGCGTTGATGCAATAAAAGTACCACCATCACTTTGCTTGCCTCGACCGCCTACTTCGATTGTCACAAATTTCCTTGTTGCATCAGCCACAGCTTGCATTACAACACTATTTCTTTTTTTATCGCACCAATGTGCCGAACCAGAACTAGGTGGTTTTTTTTTTTAATTTCGCAATGTATTCCATCAATTGCTCCTATACAGTTCGGGAAATTCCAGATGGCTTCAAAGTCTTCTGCAATAGTTTTCAGATGTTGTTCCGTTGGTATCGGCATATGAATAGAAACTAACTCTGACCATAAAACACGGCATGTTTCGTGTACGACGGATGCAATAGTGCTTTTCCCCATCCGAAAACTCTAAGCCAGTGCTCTAAATGCAGTTCTTTTTGACAAAAACCTGAAACATAACACATAAAAATATAATTTTATTGTTACAGAAAAACAATTGCGTAAGAAGTGAAAGAACTTGCGCGATCAGTTTCGAAAAGAAAAAAAGAAAATCCATAAGCCGCGCTCTGGTGACGGTGGCGAGGAAATAGAGAGTACATGGCCATACTTTCAACTAATGCAGTTTATAAACGATGACATTACACCAGAAGTGATGACAGGAAATCTTCAGGACAGTGATTCTGAATCCCTCAACGAGTCAAATCCTGCCGAGCAAGAAAACACTGACTTTATGAGTCCAGGTGTTTCATCCTGCAGCAGTCGCACAAACACGTCAAAGCGCAAAACAGCCTCGGATTATAGAAATGATCTTATAGCATGCAAAAGAAAAAAAATTTCTCTGATTGAACAAAAAATGGCGTCAAATAGTAACCAATCGGAGAAATGTAGCGATTATCATTTCTTTATGAGTCTCCTGCCACAAATGAAACAATTTAATGAAGTACAAAAGTTACGCATACGTAATAAAATTACCCAAGTTATAATAGACAAAGTAGAGAGGATACAGTTTTCTCATCATCCGAGATATGAGGATAACTATGGAGAATATTTTAGTAGCAACTACGACCATAGTAATTATTAATTTCATTATATACTTTATACTTATACTACGTACATAAATACTATTTTTAATAAAATATTGTTTTATTCTTACCTCAGAGTTATAAACAATTTCTCCTCTCGACTAATACTTTTGCGAAAATTTGTATCTCCTCTAGTACTTTTAAAAGATATTTTACTCAGGACGTAATCAAATGTTGCCACGGACATTCGAGTATACTCAAAGAATTTTCTAGGGTACAATCTCAATTCTTCATACAAATTAAAAAATTCACCATTTATTTGTCGGTTTTTATTTATTTCGTGCACTCCCTCTCTAATGTTCAAAATCTCCCATCTCAGGATCGGACTGTCTAGCAGAAATACTAAATCCTCGTCCATGGTTTACAACACCTGTAATACGTCTGAGCACACCAACAGCTCGCTCGTCACTGTGGCAACGCGCCCCGCCCGCCGTCGCGCCCGCAACAGGTTCAAGTCGCCGCGCATTCACTGTGGACGCACACATAGACATCAACAAGTTATTTGCGAGTAATGGACACTCCACACTGCAAACTTTCTATCGGGTAAGAGTTTAGTCGGATTGGACTACTAGGCTAATAAACAGTCTGGTTAGTGGTGAGTGTGCACAATAGCCAACAACCGGCCAATCGTTTTCGAAAAAAAAATTAGTTAGTAAGCAGCTCTTGAAGTCGGTAGGCGCGTAATGTAACCTTAAAAATTGTCCACAAATGTTATTATTATTACTGTTATACCACGAAGACGGATACGTCTAAGCTCTGTGTGTTGTGACCAGTAGTGACATGTATGTGGGCTGCTTTTTTAAGTTTTGATGGGGCAATCATGCTGTTTTTATTTCATTTATATTTTCGAAGGTGTTACTGTTTTATTTCCACATTACCGAAAATATTAACAGTAGCAAATATTCGAAAGAATAGAGCTCATAATCGTTATTTTCGCAACTTTGACGCTGATCGCCGTTTTCAGTCTGGGTACAATACATCTGAAATATAGGTCTACATTATGGCAAGAATACCCCGAGGATTAAATGAAGTGTGAAATGCTCCATTACACCTGCATTACCATATGGTGCGAAAACTAAATAATTCATAAAATCAGGCGTTACTTTACGCTAATCCATAAAATAAAAGATTACAAAATATATTATATAAAATATTATATATTTATATTATATTTAAGCATCGATTTTTGTCAAGTCATGTCAAGCCCTTAATACTTCCCAATATTTTTTTAAGAGATAGAAGTTTAAGAGAAAAATCTAATAACAGAATATACCCTCTAAAATGTAAATTGATGTTCTTTCAAAAAATTCGTACATAATGGCGATTAAAATCTTTAATTCTTTACCCGACGAGTTTAAAAATTTCCCAATGACAAAGTTAAAAAACAAACTGCATGTATGGCTCTTACTTAATTGCTTTTATACCGTTAATCTTGATCATAAAAATCAAAACTAATTACATATTTAATTTCTGTATCTAAATTGCTTGAATTTTTTGCTGTGAGTTAATAAAATAAGACTTCGATAGAATAATAATTGGACGGTTGATTTTACTGTTTTTACATGTGAACATTTATATATTGACATTTTTGTAAACGATTGTGTGACATTGTACTTCGTAATTATTCTTTTGACATTTGTTTTATTATTACTTGGACATTTTTATTAGTACTATTAGGACATATTTATATTAGACTAAAATTAATCAATAATTATTGTGAAAACAATGTATTGCAACAATAAGGCAGAATGTATTGGAACTTTTATGCTTTAACAATACATTTGTAATATCTACCTACATTCTAAGCAAATAAATAATTATAATTATGATTATGATTAATATATTAATTAATTTTTAACATATTTAATTTCAAACACATCATGCCATGTAGATTCCATCTCAGAATAAAATAAATTATTTATTTAATGCCTTTTATATTGTTTTATTCAAATTCTACTTTGGGAATCGAACAATTTTTTTAACAAACAGAAGTGACGACGAAAATTACAGCCCTAGGTCGTTTGGGAAGTGTTTTTACACTGTTATCTAACTTCAAACAAAGAAAATTGCAGACCGGAACTCCGCAGTGCAGGCACTGCTATGTGGCGGCAGTAACAGGTAAGGCGGTGGTAAGTCAGACGGAATCCTAGGCAGTAATGGAATCCTACCATCAAGTAAATTTATAGATATTTATTATATTATATCGAAAATATTTAATACTGTTAGATGTAATAATAAACATGTACTATTATAGTAATCATACAATGCCTAGTAAGTAGTCAACATTATTTGTAACACAAATTAAACCACGGAGATTATTTATCACAAATATGACTCCTAATAGAATAAATAACATTCATCAGAGAATATGGATTAAATATGTTTTTTTTTCTAATTTTGCAAGTATCCAGTACATAACCCCTAATTTATATCAAGAAATAAAAAACAACAATTAATAAAAAACAAATTGTATGTTATTACAATATATTCTTGGGCTCTAGTAATGTCAATGATAATTTCTACAGAAAGGTAAAGAAAAATACGTGACTATATTAATTTTGGCGTATGATTAGCATAGTAAATATCAGATTCCCATATTAATTTTTGAACTGCCATCGCTTATCAAGCTTCAGTATCATGAATTATGAAGCAGTTTCTTCCTTTGTACACCTGGACATGGGTCTCTCCTACTATAAGGGAATTTGACTCAATCGCCACGTTCGGCAGGTGGATTGGTGATCGCAGATTCAGACGTCTAATCTGTATATTTTCCATCTGGAATGGAAGTGATTTTTCTTCATTTCTGTATTTATTATCTGTCAAACCATAGAGATGCATGAAGCCTCTCCTATTCACACAACGCTTCTAAAGAAACAAAGATTTAAACAAGCCACAATTCAAAGAGTATTTTTACTTCAACTCACTCCTTTCATTGGAACATACTTTGATAGTAGCTATTCAGTATCATGAAGTAGTTCCGTATGAGCTGGAAATGGAGTGTTCATTGCATCGAGCAACGAGCAAACATCGCAAACGCACTCATTCAAATTACATATTCCATTTTCATTTCAATGTAAGAAACAAGTTGAAAGCGGTACAATAAATGTAAAAGTAAAAGATTCACTGCAGCTGAAGGCCCGAAAAAAAAACGAAATTAATCAGTTTTGTATCGCTAGCAACGCAAAGTCGGGAACTTGTATTTGGAAAAATCCAAAATTAGGGGCTTTTTAGGTGCTAATTAGGTGCCAAATTTAAAAATTAGGTGCTCTAAAATTTTCACCGCAACGAACTGTTGAAATTTGCGTTGCTAGCAAAACGTCTCGCTAGCAACGCAATGAAGTTATTAGATATACGATAAATATTAATAGCAAGGAATTAAGTGCTAATTAGGTGCTGCAAGTATACGCAATAACAAGGCGCCCCTAATAAAAATAAAGTCATTATTCAGAACATAGCAGATGCAAAATTCAGATTTCCTGAAAATCAAAATACAATCAAAATTGCTTTCAGAAAAAGTCCAAATTAGGGGCTTTTTAGGTGCTAATTAAGTACCAAGTTTAAAAATTAGTTGCTCCAAAATTTTCACCGCAACGAACCATTGAAATTTGCGTTGCTGGCAAAACGTATCGCTGGCAACGCATTGAAGTTATTAGATATACGATAAATATTAATAGCAAGGAATTAAGTGCTAATTAGGTGCTGCAAGTATATGCAATGACAAGGCACCCTATAAAGTCGTTATTCCTAACAAAGCAGATGCAAAATTCAGATTTTCTGAAAATCAATAAATAATCAAAAATGCTTTTCGAAAAAGCCCAATTTAGGGGCTTTTTAGGTGCTAATTAAGTACCAAGTTTAAAAATTAGGTGCTCTAAAAGTTTCACCGTAACGATCGATTGAAATTTGCGTTGCTGGCAAAACGTATCGCTGGCAACGCAATGAAGTTATTAGATATACGATAAATATTAATAGCAAGGAATTAAGTGCTAATTAGGTGCTGCAAGTATACGCAATGACAAGGCGCCCCAGATAAAAATAAAATCGTTATTCAGAAAATTATTCAGTAAACCAAATGCAAAAATCAGGTCTTTGTGTTTGTGCCATCTAGCGTCTATCGTACTTACCACCTTGATAGTCCATCGATTTTGATTCGATAAAATGACTAGAACTATAGAACGTTGTAGATGGCGCTCTTTATTACAAAGCAATTTACTGGAAAGAAAATATCCTTTCGGTTTAGTGCAATAAAGTTTAGGCTTCACCTGTCTAAAGATATGAATTGTAACATTTATTTAGTTGAAAATTATATTAAATAATATTATAGATTATATTAAATCTGAAAAACATAAAATGCCGTTCATACCTTATAGTAATTGTGGTTTTGAATCCGATAATTTCCAGAATATAACCGTCATTTACATGCGACCTCAATAATCTTTCAGCACCTAATTAGCATAATTTTTAGGTACCGACAAATAACAAAAAATACCGTTCATACATTATGGTAAGGTAATGGTGGTCGTGGACCCCATAATTCCCAGAATAATGTCTTAATCTGTATCGGGTTTCGATAATCGCTCAGCAATTAATCAACACTTAATTCCTTGCTATTAATGTTTATCGTATATCTAGTATATCTTGCTAGCGATACGTTTTGCCAGCAACGCAAATTTTAATCGATCGTTACGGTGAAAATTTTAGAGCACCTAATTTTTAAACTTGGTACTTAATTAGCACCTAAAAAGCCCTTATTTTGGGCTTTTTCTAAAAGCATTTTTGATTATTTTCTGATTTTCAGAAAATGTGAATTTTGCATCTGCTTTGTTTGGAATAACGACTTTATAGGGCGCCTTGTCATTGCGAATACTTGCAGCACCTAATTAGCACTTAATTCCTTGCTATTAATATTTATCGTATATCTAATAACTTCATTGCGTTGCCAGCGATACGATTTGCCAGCAACGCAAATTTCAATCGATCGTTACGGTGAAAATTTTAGAGCACCTAATTTTTATATTCTGGAAATTATCGGATTCAAAACCACAATTACTATAAGGTATGAACGGCATTTTATGTTTTTCAGATTTAATATAATCTATAATATTATTTAATATAATTTTCAACTAAATAAATGTTACAATTCATATCTTTAGACAGGTGAAGCCTAAACTTTATTGCACTAAACCGAAAGGATATTTTCTTTCCAGTAAATTGCTTTGTAATAAAGAGCGCCATCTACAACGTTCTATAGTTCTAGTCATTTTATCGAATCAAAATCGATGGACTATCAAGGTGGTAAGTACGATAGACGCTAGATGGCACAAACACAAAGACCTGATTTTTGCATTTGGTTTACTG